TAGATAGCCCACTATTGCATCCCCAAATAATGCTCAATCAAAATATTTTTTAGACTGATCACTGTATGAGCAAAGCTTCTTGCTCTCTATGGACAGATTAAACTGCTTAATAAAACTGCTCTTTCTTCTGGCACAGTACCAGTCGTGGTTGCTAGGAGATTTCTTTTAACAAAACCTGATAACAGGAATGGGGAGGATATGAGAACAACACCATTCCTTTCCAGTGGCTAGTTTTCTTTGATCATAAAATCGCAGCTGAACTTAAAATCATTGGCTTTTGATGGGATACACAAAGGCCCAGGAGACAGCAGTGGATACGCTGCTGTGTATCTGTAGTCCTTTATTCCCTTAGAAGACACATTCTGCACAAAAGGGACAATTACCTCTGGAAATGCTGGAAATTTTTTCACTTAAATAATGAACAAAGATGAATTGCTTTAACATCTGACCACCAACAATGGGTGGCTTTTATACTCTTGTAGTAGTGTTAGATGGGAACAAGGGCACACCACAGGCAACTTAATATCTCCTGCCAAGTACAAGACATTACCTTATAACCTGGGATCAGAGAAACTCTGTTTTCAGACAGTTATAAAGTAGCCTAATAGAAACCTAAGGCTAATGTGCACCAACAGGACCAACAGAAAACAACAACAAAATAAACAACTAACGAGTAAGACAATAACTCAGCATGGCATTTCATAGCATGGCATTAGAAGAGGAACTCTTGTCATGGTGCTAGCATTTCTGCCCACCTTTTCATATTATTGGGACACTATGACAGTCCATTTCTGTCTGTCCCTGCCACCATCCGGATGAAAGTGACGCTCCCAGTGCTGCACAAAAAGTGTCTTACTATGCTGGGAGGATGAGACCTATGAAAGAAAATTTGTGTGAAAAGAGATTTTGGTCCTTTGGTATTCGGAAGGACGGGTTATGTATTCACGGTGTACTTTAGTGTATTTTTTAATGGGATTATATCACAGCTATGAGAAGGCTCATAATGTTCTCTTTCATTGCATTTGAACTCACCCAAATCTGTCCTCGTCGCATCTGACTTACTAATTTCTCCTCCTATTTTTTACCTTGCCGGTTGCTTAGCATCTGTGAAAGAGATTGGATGAGACTGAGAGTACACAGGAGGGAGCGCGTCCATCAGTTTATCTGGTGGAGTAAATTCGATGGTGATCCTGTGATGAGATGAAAGATTTGTAAGGAGCTTTATACTTTCAAGTGGTTCAAAGAGGCATTGCTCATAACAACTGATGCTGCTAACAATTTCTTGCTCTGTTACAGGGTGGACTGATGATTAATTCATGTCTTAACGACGTTGTGCCCGTTAGTGGGCGGGGGGGGGGGGGGGGGGGGGGGGGGGCACACTCGGTGGACGTGTCACACATTAATGACTTCTCTGAGCTGTGAAACGAGCATCATTATCTCTTTTCAAAAAGGGAAGGATGCGATATTTCAGCTCAGCTTGTATAAAGACGGGAGGAATCAGTCACTGTGTGTATGTGTGTGGGTTACTTAGTTAGTGTGTGTGAGTTTGTGTGTGTGTATGTATGTGGGTGAGTGACTGGGTGACACTTGAGCATTGCCTTGCAATGTAAACTTCATCTGAGGGAAAGGATAGAAAAAACTTCTCTGTGAACAGTTCAACCCGAACAACTGTTAATGCTGTTAAAAACAGGTTTAATTGAACTACTCTACTGAACTAATTGTCTCCTGATTTATTGTTTTAAAACTGTGTTAAAGGGGTACTGCACTGATTTTATATTGCACTCCCATAAAGTTGGAGGACTTGCAAGCGACAAGAATAAAATTAATGCAGCATCGATGCCTTTCCTGACCTTTATTCTGTCAGATCGGTCAAGCTCCAAGAAAAGCTGGATCCTGTATTTCCCATAATGCAAGTGGGTAGCGTCTTTCATTAGACATGAGTTTTTGTACCAATACAACATGTCCTCATTCCTACAATGACAAAATATGACCATATATGATTGTTGGAAAGTTGGATGTTACTTAAGTCACATGACGTTAAACACGTGGTTGCAGTAGTATGGTTAGGTTTAGGCAATAAAACTACTTGGTTCGGTTTAGGAAAAGATTGTGGCTTGGTTTAAAATAATTACATTATGTAAGTCACGTAACATAAGTTACGTAAGTCACCTACCTAACGTTATCTAACTTAAAACTTAAAAAAAATGAAGAAAACATAAACAAAATAAAACTTTAAATAAGTTAAAATTTACTTTTTTTCACTTCACAACTTTTTTTTCTCACATTTTTTTCAAAATTTACTTTTGTTGACATAAACCCTGTTCTCCTGGGTTAATTCCACCTCTTTAAGAGGACTGCTTTGCTCTTTATACTGTCACCTGACTTAATTTGCTCCTGTCATACTTACTGCGTTGCACAATAACAATAAATCTAAACTTAGTCTCCCAATAAGCTTGTTTTTCTAAACAGTCTTTTTTTTTCATTTAACAAAATAAAGTTTTCAAATATTGTATAAACACAAGCACCTCTACAAGAACTATGCCTAAATAAAATGCTCGCTAAAACTGCCAACATTTTTGATTTAGCCTACTGTGAATCAGGAACCATGTGATCAAAAAATAAAAATGAGATCCAAACATTCAATGCAACCTTTCACTTTTGGTTTCACTGACACGGACACATTTGTGTCAGTACTAAAAAAGTATAGAGGTTTAATACCCAGCCTTGAAGACAACCTGTGCAGATGAATATATATTAACTCTAACTGCAAATTAAGGAAGCTTTGAGTCTCTGTATGCTGTATAAAATGGATTAATTGTATGGGATTAATATCCTGCCTGCCTGAAGAAGGAAAACTCAAAAACAACATAATGTTTGCAGAGATTGTTTTAGTTTTTTCCATTTTGCAAGCTTGCAAATCTTAGTTTTTGATCTTGCAAAACTTTTTTTTGTAAAATTTTAAGTTTTCAAACATTTAGTTTCAACCCTTCAGAACTTTATTTTCAGTTTTGAATCAATATTGATATTGATTAATATTGATATTAATCCCATATAATTGCTCCCGCTCTGAGAGAACAACCACATGGCTAAATTAAACTGTATCCAGAAATATGTAAAACACAGGAAAATACGACAACAGAAAATATGTTTTAACATTATGCTGTAAAGTGGCTCCCTGATAGTCCCTGATATTCCTGAGAAACTTTACTAAACTCTTTACCCTATGATTTTTCACAAATCTGATGAAAATTATACCCCTTTCTTTCTTTCTTCTTTTTCTTCCAACCCATGTGTGCTTCTCAACCACTTAGCTGCACTCCCAGTCATCAAAATATTTTATTTTTATTTATTTATTTATTTTTTTACTTTTAAGAGGCATTTCATAGCTCTACATCTATTCTGTCACTTCACCGCTGCGGCAGTGAGAAGGGTTCAAGGGTCACGGCAAAGTAGAGAGAGCTGGATGAGTGAGAGGGTTTAAGTTCACACAGAGAGTGGAGGATTGTATATTTCCTAAGAAAACAGGAGCAGCCATTTGAGTGGAGGTCATGGACATTCCTATGCATACTGATAGAATAGGTGGATGCGTTGGAGGAGAAAGGCCTCTTAAAACGAAATGAACTAAAAGCTCTTGGTTTGAATGCTCTTCAGCCTATACTCTGCCAAATGTACTCTAGCTCCAATAACACACTCAGGTCAGAAGGGATGTTATTTGAAGCTTTTAGGCTAACTCTGATTCCCACTTAAAACCAACTTTAGTTCCAATTTCTAAATTGAGACAAGGCCTTTTCTCGGTATCTGTTTCAGTGTTGCTGTTGCAGTGAAGTAAGTTTATTCTACACTTTTTGAAACACATGAATATAAGAGGAGTACTGTATGATACATTTTACAATTTGCTACTGATACCGATGCTCAAATATTCAAAAAAAGAAAAAAAGAAACTTAGAGGAATCTCTCTGCCTTCAAATTAAGGTAATAAGCATGTGGATATATTTTTGAAATTTCTTTTGCTCTCACACACACACATGTTTGTCTCACTATCTTAATGGGAACATTTTATTGACATAATACATAGCCCCTTATCCTAATCTAAACCATCATAACTACATGCCTAACCTTAACCTTTAACCTAACCTGAACCCTAAAACCAAGTCTTAACCCCCAAACAGCCCTTTAAACTTGTGGGGTCCAGCATTTTTGTCCCCACATAGCTGGTTGGTCCCCATAAGTACAGTGAATCCCTGTTTATGGACCCCACGAACATATAGGAACAAAAACAGACACACACACACACACACACACACACATTCAAATTATGCAGTGATTTTGGGAGTGTAATGTTTGTAAAATCCACATGATGGCAGCATGGATCTGCTGCTTCTGTCTTGTTTCACAGTTTGTTTTTCTAGCATCAAATGAATCATATATACTGCCACATACAATCTAAATGCTTTCATTGTGGGGGACCATGTTTATACTATACTATTTATGCTATGGATAATATTGATTTATATGTATTTTTATATGGGACAATCTGGTGTTTTCACATTTTGAGCAGAACATGGAGGTTGTAGGTTAAACACAAAGGTTACTTTTGTTACTAACTGCTCATCACAGTCTTCATTCATGGGATGCAGTTGTAAGCTTCAGAACTAGCTTTTAAAATGGACCTCGAGTTAAAATTATTTGTCAAATGTTTTTTTAATTATATTGATACATTTACAGAAATACATTTTTAAAATATTAACACTCTCCTGCTTGTTGATAAACTTTGCCCAGCTACTGGAATTGGAATAGATGTTGAGCACATGTAGACAGTTTCTGTAAAATAATGATGTAAAATAGCTCATTAATTTTATTTATATTTATCTAATAATTACTTTTTAACATTCTCTATTTATCTGTACATATTTATCTCCTTGTGCTGCTTGACACGCCTAGATTTTTTCCTAGGAGGACCAATAAAGGCTTAAAGGGGGCAATATGGAAGTCCGCTCCTACTAACACTAACCACAGAAGAAGATCACTGCTAGGTTAGCTAGCAAGCTAGCAAGCTGCACGGATAGTTTGACGTGAGCATCACAATGCTCCTACAGACGGCCAGACCGTGGTTGCTTCGTTGCAGGAGTCTACCTTTGGCTTGCAGAAGGTCTTACTACGCCGATAAAGTAGCTCGACTCGGTTCTCAGCCGGATAAACAGTCCTCAGAATATCAGGTAGGCTGGGCTAACGTTAGCTTGTTGCTAACTGTAACGTTATAATCCCACTCGCTGCTAATGTCAACGTCAAGTTAGCCGTTCAACTAGGAGAGGTGGCTCACCTGACGGGCAGGTGTAAAATCACGATAAGGTCGCTTAATGTTGACAAGCAGACTGTTGTCCCTTTAACTTAGTTCCCAAACCACGCAGAGGCCAGTTACAGGCAGGTTACTGGCTACAAGAGGTCAAAACCTTGAGCTTTCATTGTGCACAGCCAAGGTCTTTGCACTAGGCAGCTGCATTTCTACTAACGTTATCTATCATTCTTCATGTCAGCGGGTTTCAGCAGTTTAGACACAGCCTTTGCTCCACATGTCATAACAGTCCAGTCCGTGCCTCTTCAGTCCTCGTAGAGTGGAATAGTCCCAAGTCGGTTAACTGGAGTTAAAACTTTCCTTAGGCACCATAGCCCCAATGTCTGCCTCTCAAGCCATAACTGGGACTATACTGTATAGGTCTACAGTACATCCCAGGTGTAGGTATAGATTTGCAAGAGTGCCAACCAGCAGAGTTGGGAACCTCTGCCTAAAGGTATAATAAACAGTAAACATTTTAAGTTTAAAAAAGTTAAATATTTAAAGGGAAATATCTACTATAAACAACTCCAGTGACCAGTTTAGTCATATGGGATGCTGATACCGGTATCAGCATCCCATATGACTAAAACATTACAGTTTAGAAAAAGTTCAGGTCAAAGATGTAGAAAATGAGGGTTACTTTTTATCCATGCTTGAGGATTTAATGCTTAAGAGTGTTAGGGTGAAGTTATAATTTAATCATTTTAACTGTAAGGTGCAAAACTGTAAGGTGCAAAACTGTAAGGTGCAAAACTGTAAGTTAGTACCCTGTGTCCACATTCAGTAACAACAACCAATTTGTCCCGCTGATAAGCAACACCAAAAAATGTCACTTGATGGCACCACAGATGCATTTTCTTTATATTTCCAGCTTAGAGAAAGACTTGTTTCAAAATATACCAACATAAGCATGTCTATTACATAATCTTGTCCCCCAATAAATCAGTGTTAATGCAGCAGCTACATTCTTGAGCTTTTTCATATACTTCTGTACTGCAAATGGTTTAAGAGCAGGCTTAAACTATTTAAGTAGCTCCATAATCATAACTTGTCCTGTTTTGAAATGGGGGGGGGGGGGTCTGTCATGATGCTCGTCCACTCAAACAATGATTCGGTGTTATTGCAAGCTAAGAGGGTTGTTTTCAGTTAAAGGCACTGGTCTTGTTTATAATTTATTAACTTGTTTGTATTTGGAGCAAGTGAATATGTGGCAGGTTAGTGCTGAGTGGTGTTTTGATTATGCTGTTAATTAATTATGTGTTTCTGTCATTAATTGTTAATGATTAATACAGAAATATGTTTGGGAAATGTTCCTCTACTACTACTATACTTGATACTCACCTCCAAGGCTTGGTTATTGTATATGTATGACTATGACACTTTCCTGCCAGCCTGTTTGGATTAAGTTACAGCAGCCAAACTTAACTCTCTGACCAGATCTCTGATTCAATAGAAATCATATAACATGACAGACAAAACAAATTGCTCTTCTTGTTTTTCAGGAGAATTATGAGCGCATGCAAGTTCTTGTTGATGAACTGAAAAGCCGGACAGAGAAGATTAAATTTGGTAGGTGACAGATTACACACTACGCTAAAGTTAAATTCATCACTTGCATTTTAATTCAATGAAAATTACTGTCCAAGTTCAAGCAATCTGGGTGATGAAAGTGTTGACAAAACACCCTTACTTGCCCCTATCTGTTCTGCTCAGGGTCGCCCTGTAGATATAAAGGCTTTAAAGGCCTGCTCTCTGTTTGCTAACATGCTATTTATTTTTATTAATCCAGGTGGGGGAGAAAAAGCCAGAAGACTTCACACTTCTCGTGGGAAACTCCTGCCTAGAGAGCGTATAGACAGGCTGCTGGATCCAGGGTAGCATCATCTACTTCCATCTTTGGTTTTGATAGATTCAAACTTCATGGCTGACTCATATCCAGCAGACCAGAGCCCTGTTTCAGAAAGCAGGCTTAACAATCCCTGAGCTTTGGGTTGATTGAGCCTGAGGTGGGAAACTCTGAATTTTCGGTTCCAGAACAGCTGATCAGAATAAGTTCAATCAACTCTGAGTATGTTGAGCCTGATTGAAGTGCGTGCGTGGGGATGAAAAAAAGCCATCATCAGTGGAGCTCCGATAATACGATTCACCATGGCAACGGGTAAATAAAGGAAGAGCCTCCATTTTAATCAGGTGGAGCTAGAAATATGAATGTGTGCCAGCGCGGACCATGATAGGCTCTAAAACGCAGTTTAGAGGGGAAGAGCGTTGCTCATTCATCATTTACCAGACTGGAATTTCCTTAATGAATGATAAAGTGCTACAGCCCATTACATTTGATTTTAAATAGGAAGGCTATATTTATTAAGCTGTAACCCGACGGGATTAAATGCCGGTGGCAATCGGCTACCTGATTATGAAAATAGGTAGGCTATAGATGTAAATGTAAGACACAGTTTACTTGTGAACCTGTGATTGTAAAGTCACAGTCACACCCAGTAGGTTAGCCTATTAATTGTTTTTTGCAGTGGAAAATGTGTCTATAGGTCAAAGTTTTAGACATCTATTTTACATTAATAAAATCTTGCTAATTTCGTATTTTATTAATGCTGTCAAAATACAGACTCAGCAGCTAATAAAGAAAAACTCACTTTTAAACCTTATTTAAGCCTGTTTGTTTCAGCTGCACCACAGTCATCCTCACTCAGAAATAATCACATTATCTCCAGTTGATAACTACGAATGTTCCAATCAGTGCGACTACAGTATGAAAGATTACTGTTCATTGATCAGTTTTATAGATTAGCCTACATATTAAACAGTGATTTCTGCAGTAATGTAGCCCACAGTAAGTGTTTTCAGTGCAACTGTCCACAGAGTCGCAGCTTTATACCTAAAGATGGACACAGATTTTATTCTGGGCAAAGGATAAATCCACGATGTGCGGAGATCTGTTCTTAGATCGATGACAGATTGATCATAAAAGCGGTCATGTTCAAGATCACGTTTGGGTAAAAAACGAATAGCCTATCTAACTGGGATTTTAAGTTTTTAAAGATGTATATGCATTCAGATATGTGCTTTCATATCAACAGAATGAATGAGGAAATGAAACGGTGTGTCAGACAGCCGCTTCAGGCTCCGCAGGAGGGGAGGAGTTAGAGAGAAAGTGATGGTTTTCCAACTTATCCTGTGAACCTAACCTCCTCAGGAGGAGGAGCATCAGTTGCCGGAGTTACTGATCAAGGGATTATCTGATCTCGCTCTCTGAAACGGAAAACCCAGAGTTTCCCTCATCTAAGGCTTAACATACTCAGAATTTTCACTAATCCCGCTTTCTGAAACAGGGCCCAGATGAGTAAGATTTGTAGTGCTCTGGTCTGACGCCATTACACAAACCGTGCCGCAGATGGTGCTAATGTCTGATGCTGTACACGCTGCCCTGTACACTGAGAACAGGGAAAGGAGGATAGCGTTGCTGTCGTCTTAATGTTAACAATAGACCCCTAAAAATTATCCAACATCATGAAAGTCATCATGCTCAAAACGACAATGAACAACAGTTTTTTACATTGCAATCTAAGACATTTCTCCTCTACTTTTTAAATTTCTTGCAGGACCCCTTTCTTGGAGTTCTCCCAGTTTGCAGCATATGAATTGTATGGAAAAGAGGAAGTCCCAGCAGGCGGTATACTTACTGGGATTGGGCGGGTTTCGGGGTAAGTGCTATGAACACCATTTTGTGTTTACCTGTTAATCTGTCAGTGTGAGATCTTATAGAACATATATTTTGATTAGAGCGGATGTTTCTGCTAAAACGGACTACAAAATAAAATTGGATTTTATTGTCTGCCTGCAAAAATGCAAATAACAAAAAGATGATTACTAATTATTATAAAATGACATGGGGTGTTTCATCTTTGTGACTTGTAATTAGATTTTTGTTTAATTTCACTTCAGTACTCCAGGTGCACCTGACAAATTTCTATGTTGTTTTTTTTTTATTTTTTATTTCTCACAGGGTGGAATGTGTTATTGTTGCAAATGATGCTACTGTCAAAGGGGGAACATATTACCCAGTTACAGTGAAGAAACACCTTCGTGCACAGGAAATAGCCCAGCAGAACCATTTGCCATGCATTTATTTAGGTGAGTTTTTCTATATTTGCATGTGTTTGTTAAAACAAAAAACTTTTGCCTGTTAAAGGGGAAAATGTTATAAGTTATGTTCACCACCAGAATTAAATATGTAACAAGTCGTGCTGCACAAAAAGAGAACTATTGTATATCATAAACTCTATATATTGAGCATACTAGAAGTTTTATTAAATTCAGTTACTTGGTCAGCCATGTTTCCTCTGCAGTTGTTCAAAGTCAAAGGGCCCTGTAGGAAAAACATTTTTTTTTGTCAGTGTAGACTTGAGACATCCCAGAAGGCCCTGGCTGAGGCTTTCAGGCTTTCAATAAAGGGGGATATAGGGTGTCTGTAATATAGCCAGAGGCTGAGTTCTCTAAATATTGTCATGTTCTTGGCTCCTTTAGTGGATTCTGGAGGGGCCAATCTACCCAGACAGGCCGATGTCTTTCCAGACAGAGATCACTTTGGACGCATTTTCTACAACCAGGCCAGGCTGTCTTCAGAAGGAATAGCACAGGTGATGCTTATGTTTGCTTAATCACATTGTATTCCCGTGTTTATCATTTAACAGAGGTTAGAGCAGCTTTATAATCTGCTCGTCTACCCGTCTTTTGCCGTTGCCTGTTGTTGTTCTTATCTTGGATGAGAAATTTGTCGCATTTGAAATAACCTTCTTGGATCAGTTCTTGGAAGCAGAAAGGGTTGTTTTAAAAATTATACCCGAGTGCAGAAATGGAGAATTTAAATCACCTACACTGCTATAGGTCATTCATCTTTCTATTTTCTGCAGGCAACTAAAATCCATCTTGCTACTAAAGAAGAGACATCCTTGTGTTTAAAAACAAAACGAAAACAAGTCAGTTTGTGAGAGTGCTGATAAATGAGACGGGCGCTGTTGAGAAGTCGGGTCTTGCACTCACATCTCTCCAGTAGACCCAGGGGTGATAAACACAGTTGAATATATTCATACAACTTCACCAACCTGAATGCCCATTAATGCATGCTAATATTGTCTCTCCTGATGATTAGAATTATATATTATTCAGTGCTTTTCCTTCTGTGGCTTCTGTTCTTTTTTTTCTTATATTTTCCCCGTAGCCTCTAGATTAACCACTAGATTGCTGTATTACAAACTTACGAGTCCATTTGCCAGTGCCCATTGTATTGTTGTTAGTAAGGAATCTGAAGTGTAAAGCTACAAGCTTTCATGAAGTTAAGTTGTCTGTAGAGTACATGGCTTTCATAATTTTCCATAGAAATCCATCATTAATTTGACATCAGAGCGTTCATGTCTTGCCAGTCTCGGGCGTCCATCGTTAATATAATACTTATTCTTTTTCTTGTCTCTTTCAGATTGCCGTTGTGATGGGCTCCTGCACTGCTGGGGGAGCGTATGTACCTGCTATGGCAGATGAGAGCATCATTGTGCGGAAGCAAGGGACCATTTTCCTAGGAGGGCCTCCGTTGGTAGGACAAATTTTCGTTGTTAAATTTAGGGCTGACCCCCAATAGTCGGAGATTCGATACTTCGATGGGCAGAGCCTGATTTGACTGTGAGATTGACAGTCGAAGCTTCGCTGCGAAACAAGGATCATGCCATTTCGGCGATATGGGGGTGCTCAACGTCTGATTTTACATAGAACTACCAGTTTTCTCCCAAAAAGTTAATATACGGCCTATTACAATACACATTTCAACGTTTAATGTTGTAAATAGACATGTAAAAAGGAAAAAAAAAAACTTCCATTAAACGTTTTTAAAGTGCGTGAATAAATCCAAAATTGTAACCCTAACCTTGGGTCGTCAGTGCACATGTGTAGGCATAGCGTGAATGTGTGTAGTGGCAGGAGGAAAACGTGATGAAGAGACGGAGCCCCAGCTTTACCAGTGTTGTGCCAAGTTGTTTTAAACAGCCGCTACTTGAAATAGACCCGCGAGGAACCGCAATGTGCATGCAGTTGTTGGCAGCACGACGAAAACTCAGAGAGAGAGAGAGAGAGAGAGAGAGAGAGAGAGAGAGAGAGAGAGAGAGAGAGAGAGAGAGAGAGAGAGAGAGAGAGAGAGAGAGAGAGAGAGAGAGAGAGAGAGAGAGAGAGAGAGAGAGAGAGAGAGAGAGAGAGAGAGAGAGAGAGAGAGAGAGAGAGAGAGAGAGAGAGAGAAGAGCCTCAGTTTAGCTTCAGCTCGCAATAGCCGCGCACGAAAACACACATGACGTGATTCGACTATAGGCAGGACTTGATGATTCTCATTCGACTATGTAAATCCTTAGTTGGGGACAGCCCTAGTTAAATTATGAGAATAGGATTAAAGTTGGAAGATCAAATGGGCTCATAATCCTGTTAATGGATTAGTAATCTCTGTAAATAGGTTTATGCATGTGAATGCAGAATCTGTAGGCAAGGGGCAATATTTCGTATTTTAAGCATTCTAATTTCCGTTTGTAGTCCCAGTAGTATTGACCAATCACGTTTAAGAGGTCTTTGGTTTCACGAAAGTAAACAGTCCGTGTGGAGAGCAAAAGAGGCGGAACGCTTTGGCCAAAATGTAATCTGAACCCGTTGGCTATCGGCTGGGTGATATGGCCAGAAATGTTAATACAATAAAAACATTTCATATCATTCGATATCGATAATTATCACGATATATGTCAAATCATTATTTCCTTCAAGTTGAAAGGCAGATATTTGCTCCTGTGTGAAATTTGTGGTTAAACTTATCTCTATGGTCAGAATGGGACAAACACTTGATGCCAAACAGTGGATCACTTCAGAAGTCTGAGGTAGAACATTCAAAACTATTATCTTTTTCAACAAATATGATTAATCTTTTTTCAGGCTTCTTTTTTCAGCAAAATAAATATTTTAATAGATAAATGAAGTGCTAATTTGTTCAAGATTAAAATAATGACAATATATTGAACATTTATTATATTGTTATTGAGGAAAATTATATTGCGATAATTATCATTATTGTTTTATTGCCCAGCCCTAGTCTGATGGCAGTTTTTTTTTATCAATCTCAGAACCCTAGAGATGTTTTAAATTTATCTGCATCAGATTCTCAGACGATAGCTAATGGGTTCTGAGATTACTAATCGGGCTGTAAACGATGGCCAGCACACGAAAGAGGAAGTCTTCAGTTTTCCCAGATATTCACTGGCTACACCGGAAGCACGAAACACTGGCCATTGCCCCCAAAGGCTAAGTCGTTGTGAGACAATAAACCAATGGGTTCAGAGATTGTTGGATTAGGGATTCATAAACCAGGCTATAGGTTTTACCAACATCACAAATGAAGAGTGAGAAATAACTTACTAATGGCATGTACTTTGTGTTGTATTAATTTAATTCAAGCAGTAAATAGTGAACAGGTAGTGGACACTACTTAAAGGTGGGGAAAAATGCTTTACTGATATTGTGTTTGTTGTTTTTGTTAGTTTGAGAGTCTGTGTCTTTGTATTTACAGGTCAAAGCTGCCACTGGGGAAGAAGTTTCTGCAGAGGACCTTGGTGGTGCTGATCTTCACTGCAAGTATGAAAAACCAGTGTTTTTCATTGCATGTATGGGTTTTCAATCTCATGTTTCTGCTTTTAGAGAACTAAAAAATCATTAGGCTGTTGTTCTTGGGAATACCGGGACTCGACCCTAAAATCCCTCTGAGCTACATTAACATTCTTGGCAAAACATGACTCTTATTATATTGTTAGTATTGTTCACCACCATAAACCACAGAGTATTAATTACTTGCAAAATAAAATGTGGTACAAATATTTTCCAGTGGTGCCATTTACAAGCTGAGTTTACACACAGAGAGTATTTGTTTTCTCCCTTTGTAAAGAGCCTAATTATACGCAAATCGCATGTAGATGAAAGACTATTTGAAATGAGCCCTGATTTTTGTTGCCCGACTGGGACCGAAATACATTTGTAGGTTGGAACCAGCATTCAGGCATGACTACTTTTTATCGTTTGTCTTTCACTTTACATTAGAACTCAGGCAGAGAAGTTCATTGATCCACAGTGACAGATTTAAATGCTGGAGTTTTTTGGGGGTGATTAATTCATGCTTAATTTTATATCATAATTTTATTTAAATTGCTTTGATGAAACACATGCTCCTATCAGAGTTATATTATTTTTAAGTAACTTATGTGCTGTTTATAATTTGACAGTGATTTGTTGCTCATGTCACAGAAAATCCGGTGTGACAGACCACTACGCTTTAGACGATAACCACGCGCTCCATTTAGCAAGAAAGGCAGTGAGAAGCCTCAACTACAGGAAAAATATTAAGGTCAGCCCAATGATGACAGTTGTTAACAATCGCCTTTTATTGTCCACCAAGTTAGGCTGTCTGTGCTTCCTGTTGACCTTGCATCTATTTTCAGGTCACCACAGAACCTACTGAAGCCCCTCTCTACCCTGCAGATGAACTCTATGGCATAGTTGGAGATAACCTGAAACGTAACTTTGATGTCAGAGAGGTATTTGCCCAGTTTCCTGTACATTGTCTGAAACGGGCGAGAAAATTTTTATGGGCTGTACTTCAAGAAGCAGTGCTGTTGTTCCATAAATGATTTGAATATAGCAACAATTTAATCTTTTCAACTGAATGATGTGAGGGTTTATTTAATGTGTAGTCTGGGTTTTTTGTTCTGGTGCGATGTAAAACACTTGACAAGCTACTACATGACGGTCAATTTAAAATCATTCCTTAGCTCCACTAAGACACTTGGATATAATTTTGCCATGATGCCCTTTCTTTAATGAGTGTTTAGCAGAGCATTGCCATTAATTAAATTGATGTGTTATAGTGTTTCCCCTAGGATGAAGTTGTAGCAGCTGAGGGGAAGCAAAACATTTTTTTTGCGTGCTCGCAAAGCACAAGATATTCAATTTCACATCATTTTGGAATAAACAGCCAAAGAGCTTAAACACAAAACTTGCTTAAAGAAGTCCACTGGGGAACCCAAGCCATTTTGGGCCTCACCACCTAAACCTCACAATCAACCTTACAACCTACCTTTTGTATTAATTTACTTAATTTACAGGTGATGACATTTATCTGTAGAAATTAATATTAAAACGTAGGCATCATGTAAGAACCAGCATGTTTACATACTCCCTTCTGTATAATTACCAGGCAGTTAATTTGTGCATTAAAATCCATTAAAAAAAACTCCTTAATAACTTTAAAAGGTACATTCTGTTTACTCATCTGAAAACTGAAATATAATTTAACTATCAGGATGTACAGTCTGTGTACAAGACAAAGCTGTGCACCAGTTTAGTCTAACCTGTTGTTAACACTGGACAAGTAGGTAAATTTAGCTAACGTTACATAGCAGCAAAAAAAGTAATGTCAGGCTTTCCTGCTCCGCTTCCAGACCGCAGTCTGAAGCCCAGGGAGATGTTTGCTAGCGCTAACTGCCTTCAGTTGGGAAACAACAGACTTCTTGAGAAGCGGACAGACTGTAACTTACACTCTACATTTACTGCCGGACTGACAACTTACTGCTAATGTTTTCCCCTGCCTTGCTCGCTTTCACTGAAACTTTCTGCCGCTACCTCTCTCACATTCGCTCAACCAAACGATCGCTACGCATGCACATTATGCATGTCCCTGTTCCTTAAAGGTACTGCTCTTATAGCAGTACCTTTCGCATAGATGTCCTTTCAACAATGAGGAGAGGGAACCAGCCAACCATTGAGTGTTATCGTGTTCGCACAGTGTGAAAATCATTACTGCCAATTGATATCAATGACCGTGTGAGATTTTAGTAGCAACACTCAGTCATTCAGCAGTGGCAGTGCGCTGCTCCTGAATGAAAATAGTGGAAACACTGCCACCATAAAACAAGATATATAAAATACTGACATACTTTGCACCTCTGTTTGAAACAAACCTTGTTCAGAATTTGCTGTCAACAACTGTCAGGTCTCTCCAACTGGAGCTGAGTCAATAATGGGCAGCTGGCATCAATCACTTTGTTTTTGCTATCTCTGGCAGGGCTTCCCAGATTCTCTCATTTGGTTTAAAGCCTGTGCCTTTTGATTGTTGATGTACACCCAGGAGCAAGAATCACTGCTAACTCGAGAACTGTTTGTAGTGTAGAACTGAATTGGCTGTCCATTTAGGATGCAAGATCAACAGACTGCTCCCTCTTTACAGGAGTTTTTCAGCTATAATAGGCTTTTCCAACACATGGCACCCTTAAATCACTTAAGTAAAAATGTTGTGACATATTATGCTCTTTTTCAGGTTCATCATTTTATTTAGGGGTTGTACCAGAACAGGTTTACATGGTTTCATTTGTAAAAAACACCATATTTTTTTTGTTGTAATGCACATTGCTGCAGCTTTTCACCCTGTGTGTTAAATGCTTTGTTTTAGCTGTGGAGTGATGCATCTTACCTCTACAAGATCTTTGTTGGGAGTTGCACATGCGCAGTTCCTTGTTAAGGAATACTAGCCAATCAGAAGCAGAGTAGGGCAGGTGTGAGAAGCTAAACACGGGTTTGGTTCAGCTGTACATGTTCCCATTAACAGCTTAGTCAGCTTTGTCTGCTGATGAAGGAATGTGCTCAGTCCTTGTACTCCTGGACCTTAGCGCTGCTTTTGACACCATTGATCACAACATCATGTTAGACAGACTGAGGCACTGGGTGGGGGATCTCTGGTACTGCTCTAGAATGGTTTTCATCCTACCTGTCAAATAGGAAGTTTTGCGTGTCTGTAAACAACTATGTCTCTTCATTCTGTCCAGTTAAATATGGTGTGCCTCAGGGGTCGGTCTTAGGACCCATTTTGTTTTCCTTGTATCTGCTTCCCCTTGGACATATTATCCACAAACATGGCATTTCTTTTCATATTTATGCTGATGACACACAAATATACTTGCCCGTCAGATCCACAGACCCTGGAATGCTGAGTTCACTTAACAACTGCCTTTGTGAAGTTAAAAAATGGATGTCAAATAATTTTCTCCAGCTGAACTCAGACAAAACTGAAATCCTGGTCATCGGGTCCCAGCAGATGGCAAATCAAATACTGCCATCTGCTGGTTCCCTAGTAAATCACATTAAGCCTGTGGCAAAGAACCTTGGTGTTTGGTTTGATAGTAATTTAAATTTCGAGCAGCACACCACAAAGCTTGTTCAATCATGTTTTTATCAACTTAGAAATATAGCTAAAATTCGATCTATGTTAACTTTTAAGGACACCGAGACCATTTTACACGCCTTCATCTCATCACGCCTGGATTATTGCAACAGCCTTTTCACCTGTTTAACCCAAAAATCTATTGATCGACTCCAGACTGTCCAGAACTCAGCTGCCAGGCTTTTAACCAGAACAAAGAAATATGACCACATTACTCCTATTTTAGCTTCATTACACTGGCTCCCAGTATGTTTTAGAATTGACTTTAAAATTCTATTGCACTTCGCACATTCATTCATGGGAAAATCAAATCAAAAATGTATATAAAAATCTTTATAAATGTTATAAGAACAAAATTAATCAGTTCTTTGTTGTTTGAATGAATCATTAGTCTACATTGTATACGATTAATAAAGTAGTTTCTTATTTTTCTCTTTTAAACCAAAAACAGTCTTAAAAAAGACCACAAAATTGTCTTGAAAACCAACATGAAAATGAAACATGAAAAGATTGTGAATCGTGATCCAGCCTGAAATAAATCGTGATATGATATTTTTGCCATATTGCCCACCCCCTAGGCTGGACTACAAATGAGCTGTTTTCAGGCAGTTCAGAGCAGAGATTTCTGTGGGAGATGGGAACTCCCTTTGGGCTGGACTTTGGGCTTTTTCACTTTGCAAACCTAGTACATGCACAAAAAAGATATATAACTCAATAAAGGAAGCCAAAAAGCATAATACCTCTTTAAGCATCAGACTGATGATATTATATATTTTTCTTATCTTGAACAATTCATGTGAAAAGCCAACTATAATTGATCTAATTACAAGTATTATCTGATAACATTCCTCATAGACCTCCATTGTGGTTCAAAAGCTGTTAAACACACATCAGTGAGCCACACTGCTGCACTGGGTGACGTGTTTCTTCATTACAATGAATATGGGCGTTGTAGTTTATTTTGAGTTGATTGAACATACACTGTCCGGGTGCTATAAATACACTGCCATCAAATCCGTGGCTGAAAGTGCTTATTTATTTTAAGAAATTACATAACCTTTTTGAAAAGGAAACTATATATTTTAAAAAGTTGCATCTTTAGTAGGAATGAATTGGGGCATTGAATTTATTGCCTTGCTCTGCAACACGTCAGAACAGTTTGTTTAAAACAAAACTTGTTATGCAAGGCCTGTCCTATTTTCTGTTGCATTATTGGCTTTTACAACTTTCCTCTATTAATTTGATGCAGGTCATCGCCCGAATTGTAGATGGCAGTAAGTTTGATGAGTTCAAGGCTTTCTATGGAGACACACTTGTTACAGGTATGTGAAATATTTTTTTTCTCCATTTCTACAACCCATATAATTGTTTTTTTTTCTCGTGGAATCCACCAACCTTACTGTTTCACTTTAAATGTGTACCTGTTCAGGATTTTCAAGAATATTTGGTTACCCTGTTGGAATCATTGGCAACAATGGAGTCTTGTTTTCAGAGTCTGCAAAAAAGGTAAATATCCCTTGTACACAAAGATGACTGAAACGGTGAAAGTGAGTGTTCTGTTAGAGTATTAAAGTATGTTCACAATGTTCACGTTTGCCCCTGGCTCCACAACAACGTTCAGACTTTGATCCTGTGATATAACAGACAGAAAGTTAAGCCTCACGATCAGGTTGAATTTTCAGTGGAGAAAGCATTGTACTGGCAACGTGTCTCTTGAAATGTCAAGGACTTTAACACAATACAGAAGTAGTACAGATAGTATTCGCCCCAGAGATTTGCTGCTTACAACACTGACTACCAATATTTCTCTCTTGAGGGAGCTATAGTCTTCGTAGATGGTTTTCACTGACCTTTCACAGTCTAGGCGCTGAGTTTCTCTCGTACAATAAGCTCTCAAATTGCACTTGTCTGGGCCATCTCATGAGTACTCTGATGAATGGCATTGTAATAACATAACATTTAAAGATTCCATGGACAAGAGACGATCATAATTTTCATTCAAGATAATTCACTTAATTTGCAAGCCAGTCTACCGTGAACAGAGCTGAACTTTACACAGGCTTAGGAAAGATGAGGAGCTGAATTTGTGATCATAGATTAATACGTTTTTCAAACACGTTTTGAATTAGATTACAAGCTTGACCTGGGGAGGAGAAAAAAAGGTTTCTTTAATTCATTTTTTCTGTGAGGTCTCAATACGACAATATAAGCATTGGTTATCTCATCAGTGTAATTACTGTCGAAGAGGGACTGACACACTGCTTCAGACAGACACAGATGTGGAACAGACATGCTCAGAGAGCAAATCCAAGAAAAATCAATACAGCACCTGCATTTGGAGATGCTTTTGAGACACGCTGTCATCGCTTAAGACATGCCCGGGCTTCTGTTATGCTAACTGTTATATTGTTAAAAGGAATTTGTGTTTGTAAAAGGGAGCGTTAACAGAGAAAAGATTAGGTTTCTGTTGTTGAGCTCCAATTTGTAGGCAAACTGAACATTTTTCACTAAGTGACAGTTTCTAACAGGCAGCCGTCTTTCACACTGTCTCCAGCTTCTGCTTTGTAATGCAAGGCAGGAGGCTTCACTGAAAGAAAGCCAGCAGAGGTAACTGCCAAAATAAAGGAAACACCTGAGTAATTCAGCAGTACAAAGTATATGGAAATGAGGTGTCTCTATACAGCGCACCGTCCTTTGTGCTTGTTTTTGTGCAGTAGTTTCTGGCAGCTCTTGTCTTGTGCACTTCATTTTGCAAGGCTGAAGGCCATTCAGCTTCCTCATATTCAGAGTAAAATCTAGCAAATACAAAGCCAGTGTGAAGCCAGATATGCCCCCCCCCCAGCTGATAAATGTCTGTCCTGACTGGTCTCGACTCAGATGAAGATGATGATAAAGGTGAGGCCATCTGCTTGCAGACACACTTAATGAATAATTTGATGAACATGAAGCTGTTGTCAAATGTGGCCTTTCAAATCAGCTACCAGCCCCTCCAGAGGTTTCCAGCATCTTGTGAAAGCACAAACTCCAGATGTGGTCCAGGAAGTATAGTTTGTGTGCAACAGCCCAGACACTTACGTTCAACATGTACACTTGTATGCTGTGATTATATTCTTTGACATATTTATGCAGCTGTTTCTGTCAGTGGTTCATTTTGCATGTTATATTTCTGTTCATATCTTAAGGTGCAAAGAAAAAGTTATTCCCATCCTATCATATAAAGGTAGTGATAATTTTTTTTTTTTCTGTTGCAATGGGAACATTAGATTCACTGAACATTATAATTCCCTTTCAGGGTACGCATTTCATTGAATTATGCTGCCAACGAAACATCCCACTTATTTTTCTCCAAAACATAACAGGTCAGTTGGAATTCTTAATATCTGCGCTTTGCATAGTATTGACAACTTGAGATGTTGTACTGTTGTTCTTATTTTCTTTCTATCAAGTTCACAGTGAAAACAATAACAAAGGGTATTTATTATTATTTGAGTTCTTAAATTACTTATAATAATTTGTTAGTGTTTCCTGTAATGGGATCTTTGTCACCTAATGGCACCTGGATTTTGCTCACTGCAAAGTGATATCAATTCGCATCAGAATCAGATTATGTGACATCAAGTACAAATTGTGCTCAACATGTTCTCAGTTTTTGCCTGTTTTATTAATAGTCATTCATATGACGCACATTTACGCTTTAGATGACAACACACAAAGTAAACCCAGTTTTTAGTTGCAGTCGCTCCTCTATGTCTCCATCTTAGGCTTCATGGTGGGTAGAGAGTATGAAGCAGGAGGAATTGCTAAGGATGGAGCCAAGATGGTAACTGCAGTCGCATGTGCCAATGTTCCCAAGATTACTGTGATCATTGGCGGCTCCTACGGTGCAGGAAACTATGGCATGTGCGGCAGAGCCTACAGGTATGAAGAAGTTAATGAGTGGTCTGTGTTTCATAAAAATACAGCACCTGTAGCATCACAAGTAGAAGCCTTAGATAAATATGATAATAAGCTTTGTGTGCTACGCATGATGTTTAGTATGATTCACTTGGATTTTTACATTTAGGTGGAAGTGACCTTTTGTAACGGCAGAAATAAGCTTTCAGAGTTTAACCTTTTCATTGCAAACACATTTTATAATAAAAACAATCCTCAACGCTTCATTGTTATTTATTTTTGTTTTGATAATGTTTCTGCCCCAACAACTTGTATAGGAATAATAAGACACAGAATCACTGGATGGTTTTGATTCTGCAGTGACCAAAATAGTGGAGATCCCCTTAAATATTTTTGTCTGCATTGTGCACCATTCATTGTGAAATAGAAAAATTAGCATTTATTGTGTGAATAGTTGTAGCCATTGTTGGATTGAATTAAATTACACCTTTCTCATCTGTGTCACATTCGGCTCTTTTCTGTGACTTTAAATACATTTGGACAATTGGTGGCAAGCATTATCTTTAAATAAACACAGATGACTTAGCATTTTGAGAAAAATATAAGCCTGTACTAATTTTTGGTTTGACTTTTTAAAATATTTGATGTTACCCAAGTGGTGCTTTTCCTAGCCAGCTTTCATAAATCATGTTTTGTTGTGGTTTCCCTCAAATTATTAGACTATTACTGGAGTATAACATCTTCATTAATGCGGGTTTGTTTTTTTGTGATGTTTGTAGTTGTTTGTGATTTAACTGACTATTCTGGCTAGGCACACACTAACAAATTGACTCTTCCTTATTTTCCTCTCGCAGCCCTCGATTCCTGTACATGTGGCCAAATTCCCGAATCTCTGTAATGGGCGGTGAGCAGGCAGCCACTGTTCTGGCCACCATCACCAAGGATCAGAGGGCACGCGAGGGAAAAGAGGTAATGATTCATATTAATCATCCCATCTGCGCTCCACTGGAAAGGCTTAAATTAGCTTTTGTGGATCTGCTGCCAAAAGCATAAACATTATGAAAGACTTTTTTTTTCCCCAGCAGGTTTGACATTGCACTTATACAAGGATAAAATGATATCAGTGTTAAGTGTTACAGTGATGACTTTTTCTGAATAATGTAGTCATCAAATGGCTGTAATTAAAATGTGTCAGGTATGCTGTTATGAGTGTATTAAGAGGGCATTAATAGCTTCAGAATGACACCTCAGATCAGTGCCCTGGTGGCAGGTGTTTCAGTCAGTGTTTAAGATAGTTGACGCCTACGTCCTCGGCCGACATCACTGTCTTTCTGACACTGTAGTGGGCTCAGTTTTAAAGCTAAAGTAAAGATATCATATGAGACAGGCATCCATTGGTACTAACTGGGTAACTAACTGGGTATAACTGGAAAGGCAAGACACTTGTCGATTCAATGAGCCTAATTGTATTCATGTGCAACGATGCCAATAGCAGCCATTTCATTGTGGTGTGACCTTTTGTTACAAGTTGATCTCACTGTATAAAATAACATTGTGACCTCTAGGTTAATCACAGCCTCATGAAACTTTACAACCATAAACTCGAGACCTAGGACAGAGGATGTATGTTTGTGGTCTAGATAAATTGACATTTAGGGATTTTCTAAAGGCAATATCCAGAACAGAAGTTCTCGCCATCTAATCGCCGAAAACTGCAGTTCTTATAGAAATCTCCGAAATGTGAGAAGTTTTTGATAGCAAACCATGAATTTTTCTATAGTGTTCCTCAAGGTCTTGGAGGTCTTGGAGTGTTAATGTGGTATTTTGGAGGGATTTTTGACATTGTGTATATGTTTTGTTTTTTTTGTTCAAAAACTGCTGCAACAACATATGAGACATAATTGTGCATGGAAATGACCATCTCATAGGACCTCTCAAAGGACTTCTTCAGAACTGAAGAAGTCCTTTGGATGAGGGACGAAACGTCTTCCAGTATCTTCAACCAAGTCCAGTTGCCCTTGATTTTAACCTTCGTTGGATGACCATCTCATACTTTCATTGTAATGTTCTAAGCCCTTATACACCAAACTTACAAATTTGAATCAGAGCCTAATCCAGTGGTTCTCAAACTAAGGGTGTGGCTCCCCCGGGAGGCACAGTACCACTGCATTCTGATTCTGGTGGCATAAATAAAACAAGGGCTCTGATGCAATGCAAGGCTGTATTGCTGACCTGAATCTTTTGATGATGATGTAGATAAGTCCCGTAACTACTTTCTTCTGCCAGTTCATCTACTGGACTTAAAGTGGGGAGTAGTTGCAAAGTTACAAAAGGAATTCAAAACAAAATCCTTCAAATTTGATTGGAATGCAAGATACACCTCGCTCACTCACGTTATTGGATCAGGAAATGGTGGATAAGGAAGAACTTAATAAATTGACCTTAGTCTCGCTAAAAAGGTTTGTCAACTGACATCCAAACACAAACCTCTGACCCACAATATCGCTGCTTCTAGCTACTGCAACCCACAACCTATAAAGTGTGGCTTTATATGATGGGCTGTGTTGGCTTGTCGCCCCATTTCAAATTTGACTCGATACATTTATGGATACACTCCCAAGGTAAAGATCAGTCATCAAGAATGTAGTAACGATTTAACATGAAGTAAAATGAGAGGCACTTCAACTAACAATACTCAAACAATATTCATTTTCAAGCCAAGGAACTCCCATCCCAAAATGATGTTTCACTACGCTTTGTACAATTCAGACAACATTTAAAAGCCTTTGGCTCAGGTCCTTATTGCCTAATTCTGCTTTAAAATATATGTGACTAACCCTTTTCATTTCTGAAGTTATCTTTGGCAAACCTACAGCACCAATTCCTTTGTTTTAACAATTTATTCACAGTTCACAGCAGAGCAAGAGGCTGCCATGAAGGAACCAATAGTGCGGCGGTTTGAGGAGGAAGGCAGTCCGTACTACTCTAGTGCCAGGTGTGGTTTGTTCCTGACGCATCATGTGCATGTCTCACGCAGGTGTGCGGAAAAATGATGTACCGCTGTACATCATTGACTTAATGTATGAAGTTTTTGAATGTCAGTATGTCATAGCAGTTTAAATATTACTGAGAGAAAATGCTCTTTGAGGAATAACATTGGACACAGGTGGACTACCAACAGGCCATCAGCGTTTGTTTCCAATTTATTTTTAAATCATTTCAATACATAATGTGATCCTGCTATTGCATGAACTGAGAAACCACAGGAAAGACTTTTCATGCATGAAGAGTGATGCTGTGATGTTTTTCAAGTGTATTTCTTCGCCATTAGATGTCCTGTTGTTCTGCTAATATGAGGCATCTTTTCATTTAGTCCTCTGGGATATTTTATTGTGTACGTGAGCAGAAAGCTCATCTGATGATGCACTGCTGAGAGACTATTCAAAGGTTAAAATTAGGCAGATTATATATGTATATGCGTGTGTGTGTGTGTGTGTGTGTTTGCATGTATATGTGTGTATATATTTATGTGCGTGTGGATAGATATAGATTATGTAGGTTTTAAAACGCCTAACACAGACTTACAATGAATTAGAAAGAAAGTATAAAACTAGAACTAGATGTCTAACAAGACAAGAAGATATTTCTTGTACTGTCATGATCCTGTGGATGATTCTATAAATAGAGGCAATTAACACAATTATTGTAGACATGATACTAGCAGGAAATTGAGGATCAAAACTCATCAACAGGATTGGGCTTTATTGACCACTAATCAAGGCCCCAATAAAGAAATTTGCTAATAATAATCACAAAATTATTTGGAAAGCAGAGTTCACGCTACACGATTTTAAGCCTGATTTGCCTGTCGGAGAGCTCGACGACAGTAAGGCAGTGATCGGGGGTAAATCAGCGGTTGGTCGGCAGCCGCCAGTCGTTATGTGTGAACTACTCAATGACTCATCAAAACGGCTCCCCGACACATTTCTGATGCATCGCTGGCGTCTGCCAGATATCTAGCATGGCAAATATCCGGAAGAGTCGGCCGACTCGACATCCACATCCAGCCAATGAGAGCAGGCAGCTGGCAGAGCAGGCAGTACTTTTTCACCACAAAACACTTTTTACTCACCCTCAGCTCTCTCTGTAGCTCAGACAATCCCTGGTGTCTGTGTGAACTAATCCTTTCTTTCACTAATACTCTTTGTCTTTATAATTGCTATCTTTATAATAACAGACAACAGCTGTTTCGTGTAGGTTGCGTCATTTCCCGTTTCACATTTCATGTGTTTTCTTGACAAAACGTGGTTTGGAGACAAGTGTCAGGTGACAGAGCCGCTGTCAGCTCGCGTAGTGTGTGACCCCCTGTCACTGATTAGTCATGAAATGTGACACCACAAGACTTCAAGACTCCCATCACAAGACGGCAAGTTGTGTAGTCTGAACAGCACGGCTATATGTGAAAGGAGGATGAGATTGCTTGGTTGCAATACACTGATTTCAGTACCATGCTGGCATTTCTTACATTAAGTAAATGATTTTCATATTAAAATTAAGATTATAGCCATTAGTGTGATTTTCAAATGTCACAATAATGTTAGTGATTTGTTTTACCATTGATGATGATGGAAAATAATATTTTTATAAACCTGTCATTATCAAAGTGTGTTACAGCTAAAAGATGAGTGAGGGAGTTATTCAGAGAGAGGAACACGAACTCTTGACAACTGATTGATTACATACCTGCACAAGTAGTAAAAGAAAACATCAGATGAGTTGAGGTGTAATGCGTCATCAATTAATGTGATGTACTCTTGTTTTTATACAGACTGTGGGATGACGGGATTATTGACCCTGCTGATACCCGTCTGGTTTTGGGACTGAGCCTCAGTGCAGCACTGAATGCACCAATGAAGAAGACCCGTTTTGGAGTGTTCAGGATGTAATGCTCATTTAGCTTGTACAAGTGTAGAGACCACAGACCTACCGGTCAGAGTTGGACATGTACCTACATTAGTCGTCGTAGTTTTAATTTGTGAGGTGTCACCTGATTAAAAGCAACAAAAAGAAGAAAGATCACTGAAGTAGAGTCACAAAACCTTGGATCCATGTGGGTGTGAATGGTGTGCTGCTGTTGTGGGACATTTCCGCTAACAAGTTGTGCCTTAACTGTTACTACTCCCGTGTAAATGCAACTGTGTTATTCCCCCTTTCTCCCTCTTTGATGGATTGGTATTTTCTTTTTAATAAAATACTCTAAATGGGGATATATAAAAATGTGAAAACATACAAGTGCTGTCTTTTTATTCAGGACCATTATGTAGTGATTGCAGTACCTGATAGAGGAATGTAAAAAACTCTTCGTGAGGGGGCGCTCTTTAGCCATAAATATCTGAGTGGCCACAGTCTGGAGGGATGGTACAAGCGCACTCAACATTTTTTAAGCCAAATGCCTTTCAGGTGGCTCAAAGTAGTTTTCTTCATTGACACAGGAGCTGTTTTGAAGATAAAGTTTTTTTATGTCCAAGCTCAGCGCAGTTTTCTCCATATGCACACTTGCAGTAACATCTCTTCTCTAGAGACATTAATGAGTTTCATGCCTATGCTTTTGATTACATTTGTGCAAATATTGTGTTGCAGCAGGCAGGGAATAGGGTGCATGCTGCAGGCAGAGTGCTGTGTACCCAAACTGAGCCGTAAAGGAAGAGTGCTTAACTTTAGCAGCTGGTCACCCATTCTTTCCCCTCCCTCTCTTGTTTCCATTTTGTCTATTTATCTCTTTAACTGAACATGTTGCACACAGTTGGTGTGCTCACATATTGGTATAGACCATCTGAGTTCACTCTGGCAACAAGTTATATATTTTTTTCCTCCATAGGATTTTTAGGCCAAGGATTAGGTGCAGCAGTGGATTTGAATGTTTGAGTGTCTTCCCAGGAAGCCAGCTGGTTAAAATGCTTAACTGGAAGCACTTCATGCTCTTCTGTGTGTGACTGTGTGGCTGGTACAACTGAGGCTGTGGAGAGCCTCACCTTAGGGAGAGCAGAAATAACTCGGGCCATGGTGTGTGTGTGTGTGTGTGTGTGTGTGTGTGTGTGTGTGTGCATGCACCCAAAACCCACACACACATCCTCCACCACCTCCTACCACCAATTTTTAAACTGGTTTGCTGGTTATGCCTTCATCTTCTTCCACCACATGTCACTGTGGGAGGCATTACCAAACAGCATGAACCAGTTTTTAAAGTTTAGATTTTATTCATGTAAGTAAAACTTGCCAGATATTGAGATATAGTCATTCAGAGAAGCTTTGTCTCATACATGTTTTAAAGGTATGTTATAACAGATCCAGGGAAATGTCAATTGGGGGTATTTATTTAGTCTCTCTATTGTCAGAACTGATCTAATCCTTTCTTGCTGACCCGGACTGCCCTTAATTGCAGTAATAATCACTCACTGGGTGGGTTCCAGGGCTCCTTTTACAGAAGGGTGAGGTTGTCCTTTTGTCTGGCCAGCATATCTGGCAAGCTTTCCATCTGATGTAGAGTATTTTGGCTTTGAGGGTTGTACAACACTTCAGAACCTAGAGGGTGACAGCTTACACTGGATTAAAAGGTGATCGGGACAGGTTGCCAGACACAAACCGATACACTCGTCAACAGCTGTGCGTGCAGTCACGGTGTCCAAACTTGAATGTCTCAGGACCACTGGAGGAAGCAGACGCAACTGGAAGAGACTCACAAAACTCCCAAAAGGGGTCAACCCTGCCTCTGAACTTTAGTGGCAGATTTTCTGCATCTTTAAAGTGTTTATATGGGGATACATTGTATTTACAGCTAAATAAGGATACACCAGGCCATTCCAATCAGATAGTGAATCTGCACTCTAGCTGAGATCATTATTGCAGTACTGGGTAGCTGTGTGTGGGTCGTGGTATCCAGGCGATCTGGCAATCAAGAACAACTTTGAAAAAACATTAAGAGTAAACTTTGAGTGCTGCTGACAGTATGCCAGTAATCACCGTGTTACAAAGTCACCACAAAGAATATTTTCTCAGGTATTCTTGCTGTGTTGTCCCATATCCTTGTCAGAGTGACAGGAATATCTTACTTCACAAATCTTACAAGTCGGGATATTTTCTCTGTCTCCACTTCACTTTTTTGTGGACTTTTCGTTAGACTGTGAATAACTGGCTGAAATGGTGTCAGCTCTGAACTCCTCCAAACAAAATAACAACTCTCAGTCTTGAAGAGGATTCTTGTGTTTTTGAATTGATCATCGCCCCCTTTGTTCTGTATCTGACTCTGACCTTCCTGTGGAGGTGGTCAAGTGTCAAAATATTCCTGCCAGTCTGCAAAGAACAAAGAAAACCTTTTGTCTTTTGTGACTGTTTACAAAAAGTCAGTGCAATGCAGAGCTTAGGTCAATCAATAGAATAGTCAGTTGCAGCCTAAATGAAACAAACTCCAGGCACATTGGGCTACTCAACTGTGAACAAATTTCGCTCGAAAAACGAAGTGTGTTTGGGGTTAATTTAAGGTCAGCAACAGATTGTCACAATGTGAAATTCATCCTGCTTATGTCATTCTTAACCTTGGAGACATTTGCTCTTCCTTCAGTGTGCACAATTCAGTTTAATGATTCATTTGTGTCAAATAAATTATACCCAACCTGATTCAGGAGCTCATTTGCTCTCTGATAGATCTGCTTGGACAGTTATGAGTCATCTTGAAGTCACCCCCACAGCCTAAAAATAATCATGACTGAGAATCTGGGTCAGTCTTAATGTCCAGTTCCTGGAGGGAAAATGATCACTGTCTGAATTGCAAAATCTTTGCAATTGATATTAATTAAAATTTCATATTAATTTGACCTTATTAAAACCCAGCATGTAACGCTTGAATATTTGATTAAGGTGGCAAATTAGAACAAATGACCAATATACATTGTTGTAACACCAAATAAGGACATATTTCATGTTTTATTTGTTATATGGGCTAATTCTTGTAATTCTGTTTTGCCAAAAAGTCTCTCACAAAGACATCTACATGTTATCCCTTCATAGTGGCATTACTTTATATTTCATAAGCAGTTCTCATAAAATTTGGAAAGTGTATGAAGGTGAATGGATAGAAATCTTGGTCTAAACACAAGTAGGCCTAATGTGTTTTGTTACAAATGAAACACACTGCATTGCAGAAGAAGTTACAAAATTGAACCAAGATGAATAGTCCTGTTTCTCAGGACACACATGCATCTGAGTTCAAACGGCTGTACAGGATCAGGTCGGATGCTCTGCCCCCCCCAACTTTCTGTCCCGTGTCCTGGGAGAAGGGGATGCAGCCTCCGGCGGACAGCTGCAGCCTCGGTACTCCTCACTCGGTTCTGCGTGTGTGTGGTGTGTGGTGGCCCGGACGTCGAAGTGACGAGCCTTGTGGTGCAATCTACGTCTGCACCGTCCCCGGACTGACAGGGCCGGAGGTCCAATGAAAAGAAGTCGACATATTGAGGTTGTCAAATCAAAGCCAAAGGGGAGGCGCTGTCCCGTCGTCGTCTGAATTACGTCATGCACAAACAGCTGGTCTTTGGCAAAAATCTGAAAAAATGTAGACCAGCACAGCGACTGAGAACTGCACCCGGGCTGGAGCCCTTCACTAAATATTTAGCTTTTAACGATGTGGCAACTGGAGCGCTTGGGCTCAGGATGTAGCCCTCCGAGGCTCCTCTTGCTTGTTTACACCTATCTCTGCGCTCTTGGAGGTGAGTGCTTTCCGTTCAGTGAGTGTGTGTTGCTTTGATTCACGAGGAGCTGTTCCTTTTGTCGGGGTGCTGAAACGCTCCCGGAGAGCGGCAGCGTGAATCCCGTCTTGCGGTTTGAATTCAGTGTCCTAAACATCCGCAGCTGCTGCTTTGAGTCTCGGTCACCAACAAAAAGCGTTTTCATGAGCACAGACTGGCTTCAGTTACGCGACGCACGGGGAAGGTTGCTGCTAATAATGGCACGCAACACATTGACAGATGCTCCTATAGGTTGCACGTTACGATACTGAGGGCTGAATGTGGCCACAAGAAAACCCATCAGCTTGGACGCTTTCGTTGCGGTTTGCCTTTGGTTGTTTGTCTTTGTTAAAGAAAGCAAAGACAAGTTAAGACACGTTGGCATAATGCAAAAATATGACCAAATTCATCGGACGTCCATCGGACAATGAGGCAATGTTTAAGTTAAACCTTGTTATTTCCTGCTGCTTAATTGAATATTAAATAGCGATATTTAAGTTAAACATTTGAAATAGCCTAAATTTGGCTCGATTTTTATCATGAAATGTAGCCTAATCAAAAAGAACAACACATTTGTTCCTTCTCTGTATTTCCTGTTCAGGCTCATGTAGTCAGACATGAAGTGAAAGAATGCTCAGGTATCTTTTGTGGCCAACCACCAAGACTTCCTTGCTGCCTTAAGACAAAAACCTCAGTGCTTCACTGTGGGACAACAATGAATCCATACCTACAGCAGGCGCTGTACTGGCTGTGGTCGCCAAGACCTTATCCAGGTCTGTCTGGGGATATTGCAGTCCCATGACAAACTTGTTGCTGTTTTCATCAGTTTATGTCAATTTTTGTACTGAAGTCAGTGAGATCAGTTTCCCACTTTACCCATTATTTCTGGATTACTGGGGGTAACTTTTTTAGTACACATGACAGTGAGGAGGATCAGAGTGATATTTGAAATGTTGGTCTTATTCAGAGGACAATGCAGAATGCAATGCTTTTCTGAACAAAAAAAAAATTATTTAAATGGTCATTGTCTGGATGATGAGTTTGTCAACATGAGGTAGGTAGGATGTTCAGTTCTGTATTGATCTTGGTGGGGTTTGTTCGTATTTCACATGTGACAGCTCTGGTGTTGACGTCTTTGAGGTTGGAACTGGAAGATGCAGTCATTTTCATGGCTGTGTGTTTGATTTTTAATGCATTTCATCCTGTTGTTGGGTGTGAGAAAAGTAGAGGACAGTGTGTTTCACCAGGAGTGGGAATTGATTCCCAGTTTACGCCAAATTCTGTCGTTTAATTGTTGTTGTTACAGATGGTTCTTCTCATACATCTTTTTTTTTTTTTTTTTAAGATTTCCTACAAGATCATGCTAGTGAAAGCAGCATTTACCTATACGGTGTTCCAAAAAATAAAGTTTAAAGACTATCCAGCCAAGGATTCAATAAATCTCTAGTTGAGATGACAAAAAGCA